TGCTGTGAGTCTTTGCCCTGCTTCCGGATCTTGGAAGGTACGGCAACGGATGACCCCTGCTTCCGGATCTTGGAAGGTACGGGGTGGTCCTTTATCGGCGTCGATCTTTTCGGTGCCGAAGCATTGATTGCGACCGTCGACGTCGATGATCCCGGAACGGGAGGACAAGTGTCCGCAGCCAAGGTGGACATCGAGGCGTGCCCGGACGTGTCCAACGGTGAAGAGGACTGTGGAGATAGTGCCTTCTCCATCAGGGCCAAGTGTAGACGAGCTGCCCTGTTTTTTCTCGTCTGGTTCGAAAACTTTCGGCAATGTCTGCACTTAGAGACACAGTGCGACTCCCCTAAACAAACGAGGCAAAGCGAGTGCCCGTCGGTGGGGGATATTTTAAGGCCGCAAGTCCTACACCGTTTGAAACAACCCCACCGCGGGGCCATAGGCCAGCGGGAGGGGAACGTAAATAAAGAACAAACACCGAAAGAAAAATGCTAACTACAAAAATAAAGAAAGAGAAACTAACTAAACGCAAGTTTAGCAAAAAAAGTTTGGTACTTAGCAGACCGAGGCAGAAGGCGTCCTACCAGCGCGGCGGTCAGAAGAGAACTGGCGGGATCTGCGTGCCCCTCCTTGGTCATGCGCAGTGGAGCCGGCGCGTGACCTGGGAGAGGCGCGAAAATCCCTTTTGCTAGCTATCGGTACCGAGAAGGTCAGCGCAGGCGCAGAGTATCCCAAGGGTGTGATGCACAGAGACCACGAAGAAGATCATGAAATTGAGCAAACTTCAGAGGACAGCGGAAGACAGGAGGGCCTGGCGGGATCTGGTCCATGGGGTCACGAAGAGTCGGACTCGACTGTGCGACGGAACAACAAAAAAAATAGATAGGAATTCTCTGGGGCAAGTGATGCTCTGTCATCTTGGGGGGGCAACAGTGGGAGGGCTTCTAGTGTCCTGGCCCCACTGCTGCGTGACACAGAGTGTTGGACGGGATGGGCCACTGGCCTGGTCCAACATGGGCATCTCTTATGTCACCCTTGTCGTTTGCAGCTGCTTGGTCTGTCTGCCACACACAACCCCTGGCGAGGCCAGCACCACACGGTCCGTGGTAGTGACCCGTGTGGGGGGTGAGTGGCAGCTGGGCCCCCCCAACACCAGACGGGTCCTCAGGGCCGTGTTCCAGATGCCAGGCCTGCAGCTGCTCTCGGACTCCTAGCTGGGCAGCCCGGGGGTGGGGTGGGGGGGAGCACTGGGCCATTTCCAAAGTCTCTGGGAGCACTTTTAGCATCGTGGCCTTCAGGTGCTTTGCGCAGGGGCTGGCAGCACTCCCACCGCCGAGTCTCTGGCTGGTGAAGGCGGTGCAATCAAGGCCTGGCCGAGGCACAGACAGGGCTCCCTAGCTCCAGGTCCTGTCCCTTCTAGGAGGCGGGTTCTGTGCCAAGTGGTGGTATAAAGACATTAGCAGGACAAGGAAGATTCTGGAGCATTCAGTGGGGGGGGGGGCACACAAGGGTGACTGGCAAGACGTGCCCCCCCCCAAAAGCTGCCGCCTCCAGGGCAGCTGGGCACATCTCAGCTCGAAGGGAAGAAGCAGCTTACACACTCCTTCCCCTCCCCACAACAGACACCCTGTGAGGCGGGTGGGGCTGAGAGAGCTCTTGAGAGAACAGCTCTCGTCAGAACTACGGCTTGCCCAAGGTCACACCAGCCAGGTGCAAGCGGAGGAGTGGGGGAACCAAACCCGGTCCTCCCAGATGAGAGTCCGCCCACTTCACCACCTCACCCAACTGGCTCTCTGAAAGAGAAGGAGCCCTTGGTTTGTAAAAGTGCCCAGGTGAACAGCCGAGGAGTCCTTTCGCTGGGCCTGATAGTTTTAAACCATTCCTCCCGCTTTCCTCCAATAGAGTCTCTCTCTCCCTGATTAGCTGCCTGAGATCCATTCCCCTGCAATAGGAGCCAAGGAGATCTGCAGAACAGACTCCAGGCTGCTTTCCCCGGAGATGCCCCCCCCCCCAGTCCAGCTCCCCTGGTGCTGCTGCCGTCAGTGCAGAGGTCTCCACAGAGCACCCAGGCAGCAGGGGGCCCCCCACACACACACACGTTTTCTTTGCCTCAGCCCCTCCAGCCCAGCTGCCAGTCGTTTGCTCACTGGGCCCACCAGAGGGAGTTGGGGGGCTCTTCAAGACATCTGCAATCCACACACGGCTACAGCATTATTGTTGGAGAAGCCACAGCCTGCAAGGAGTCCAGCGGCTGCAAATACTGCTGAGAGAGTCGTTTGGGCCCCTTGCACTGCTAGTGGGAGCCCTGGAACGTTCTCTGTCTAGTGGTTGGGGCTGGTTGAATCCCCCCCCTCCATCTTGCAGTCCAGCCCACCTAATGTGGTTTCCCTTTCCCCCGTGTATCAGTCTGTGTTTGTGCCGCGCTCCGAAGGCCTCTCTCCTGGCCTGCCTTCAGTGAGTGTCTTTGTGCAAAATCCTGTTGCAGTAAATTCGTTGAAAGCATCCTCCCAAGCGTGGATCGGATCCTTTCCTGAACTCTGCCAACAGTTACAGTGATCTGTTTACTAGTTCTTCTGAACCCCCATTTTCCCTTTAAAAAAAGGGTCTAGCCCCCTTTGCTGTTCTCTTGAGGAAAGCTGGAAATTCAAAGCAGTTAGTAAACAGACTGCCATAACATAATATAGCAACATTGTCAGCTGCTCGTTTTTATAGAAAAGTCTCTCTGGTGTTTATTATAAATGCTGTTACCCGCCTTGAGCCCGTTCACGGGATGGGTGGAAGAGAAATACAAATAATAAATAAAATGTGTGTGTGGGGGGTGGATGGTGGCCAAGAGGATGGGGGCTGAGACCAGGAAAACGGGCACCATCCTCTCTTGGACAGCATGCAAGCACGCAGTGACTGTCCACCCCTCATTGGATGCCCCAAGGCTGGCCGGCCACTGTCAACTGAAGCCACCTCACTGGGTTGGCATCAGAATACAACAGAAGGCTGCAGGCTGCCCTAGAGATGTAAAATTTCTGGAAATTTTGAAGCTCAGAAAAAAACCTGGTGTTTTTTCCCCAGGAAAAAATGGAAATTTTCAGAAAAATAGAAAAAAATGCTACAGTAGCACTTCTTTTCCAGATTGAAAGTCATTCTGTTCAGCATGCGAAGGTCGGCCTCCTGGCCAATGCTCCCTCCAAGCTGTGGAGTCTTGCGAGCAAAAGTTCTGTTTTGTGAGCTCCTGGCATTAAAGTTGTGAGCAAGCGATTTGGCTGCTGCATAAACCAGTTTCTCTGGAGCCCTCCTCCCTGGGCTGAGACAAAAATGTGTGAGCCGGAGGCTACAAAACTGTGAGCTAGCTTAGAGGGAACACTGAATTTCTTGCCCCATCCCGTGTGCAACACTCTGTATTTTCCTGCACTCTGCACATCCTTTCCCTGCGTCCCTGTTTTGAAGAGAGCCTCCAGCGCCCCCTTTCTCCCCTCCCCGGTTCTTCTTTGCCTGCACTTGGCTGGACCAAGCCGCATTCTCCTGGGCCGTAAGCAGACCACCCTCCAGGAAGAGAGTTGGCAATTTCCCCCCCACCAAGACCAAGGGGAGCCCCCCCTCCTGTCAAGCCCATGAACAGCACTCTCTCACCCATCGTCGCTCCTTTTTCATGAGGTTTATTAAAACCGTGTCGCTAGAAGAAAACCACAGTTTGCAAGACCCCCCCCCCCCCCAAACCCCCCACAGACCATCTTCAGCCTGGTCTCCACCTTGCTGGGGATTTCCCTCCCTTGCGTGGGCTCTGGACCAGGAGGGTCAGTCTGTCGCCCGGAGACGGGGAGCACCAGGTGGCCGGAATTCAGAGGCCCTGTCTCGTTCCGGAAGCCCGCACTACTCCCCGGCAGCTGCCTGTGCAGGGTCCAGGCCACGGCCTGAGGGGCCCTTATTCCCCCACCCCATCTGGAGTGCAGAATGTAGTGACGGGGCTGCTCCCGAGGCCGTTCAGCCCTGCGCGAGCCCCTGCAGCTCCTGCCCACTTCCCACATAGGCAGGTGGAGGACATCACAGGCACTGGCCAGAAGGTGCTTGGGGCAGGACGGTCCAAAAGGCCAGGGCCAGAGGGTGGGGGGCAAAGTCTGCCTGCTCCCAGTCCTCCCTCCCCACAGCTGCATGCCACCCTGGAGAGGAGATTCGGGAGGGGGGCTCTGCCGCTCCGCCCCCTCAACTGCAGGCCGTGGGGACCGCACCTGGGACCCCCGGCCTCTGCACAGCCAGGACCGTGAGCCGTCCCCACCGTCCCCTCCTGGGTTATGGGGAAGGAAGCAGCTCCAAGCCCCCCCCCCCTGGCCAGGCACAGTCCCCCGCGGGGGCCACCCCCAGCCCAGAAGGAATCTCTCAGGGGCTCAGACCCCCAAGGTGCCCTCCGTGGGCGTTTTAGGGGCAGAGGAAAGAGCAGGGCTCCCCACCCTCCCTGTAGTGCAATTCCGATCACGTCCTTTGCAATAGCGAAGCCACATGTGGTGTGCGTGTCGACAGGCCTCGGAGTCCTCTCGAGCCAGGCAGGGATGGGCCCTGATCCTGTCACGTGCCTGCGAGGGGGGGTGGTCCTTGGGAGAGCGGCACATCCCTCGTTGGGAGGGGGGTGTGTGTGCCGGGGCCGATATGCCGGGGCGAGTGCAGCCGCCTGCCTGGGTTCTTCTCCCCAATGTCTTCTCTGGTGCCAGGCGAGTTCCTCTCCGATGCGAGCCCTCGCCGTGTGCTCTGAGGGACAAGCCCCGCTCTCGCTCTCTCTCCCCCTTCTCGGTCAGGATCGCTCTCCCCAGAGGGCTCCGCGGCGGCGGCTGCTCTTCCAAGGGCAGCGTCCCCAGGTGGGGAGGGCCCTCGACCCTCCGGCGGCCCCCTAGTCCTTGTGCTTTGCACTGTTGGGCGAGAAGGAGCCCGCGATGCCGAAGGGGGACTTGGGGCGCATGTTCCGTCCGGAGGTGATGAGCGCCCCGAAGCCGTGCTGGTGGGAGAAGGCGTAGCCGGAGCGCCGGGAGATGGAGCGCCTCAGCCGTCTCTTGGGCAAAGGCACGGGGGGCCGCTTCTCCAGCTCCCGCACCCTGGACAGGACCTGCAAGCACAAGGGCAGTCAGGACGGGGGGGCCCTGGCCAGCTGTGGCCGCGGCGGGGTGGGGTGGGGGGCTGATCCCAGGGTCCCCCCTACCTACCCCAAGCAGGGTACCCGGAAGAGCCAAGCAATCTCAGCCCTCCCCCGGGGCTGGAAGGGCAAACATGCCCCAAGGGAACATCAAGAGCTGGCGGGATCTACCGGCTAGAGTTTGGAGGCCTGTGTTCAAATCCCCACCCTCGATAACCTTGGGCCAGTTCTAGCACTCTCTGCCTGACCTGCACCACAGGGCTGCCCTGCAGCAGCAGACAACCGGTCCCCACAGTTGACTGGGAAGGAGGGAGGGAGGGAGGGAAACAAACACTAGATGGCAGCAGAGCGCCACAGTTGAGGGGGCAGGCGAGGCGAGGCCCCGGCAGGCCTTTTGGCACAGAGGAGCTGGGCCTCATCCCGCCGGCCGTGAGTGCTTTGCCAGACAGAGACCTTCTTTCTCCCAGCCGGAGCAGGCCGGACAGCTGCTGCTGCTGTTGCATCCTCCCAAGAGCAAGAAGCCCCCTCCAGACCCCTCCCTCGAAGCTCCAGCTCCACAGCAGGAGCCGGCCTGGACCTGCAGGCAACCCCCCCCCCCCCCCTTGCCGGCCTGCCCCCCCTCACCGGGCCCATGACCGACAGTGGAGGGTGGCCATCCTCCAGGCGGCACCCGGAGATCTCCCACTGGTACAACTGATCTCCCGGAGGTGATTTCCCCCTGGAGAAGAGGCCTGCTTTGGAGAGTGGATATTCTATGGCAGTATGCCCCACGGATGTCTCTCCCCTCCCCTCCCCATACCCCGTCCTCCCCATTCTCTGCCCCCCCCAATCTGCAAGAATCCCTCAACCCAGAGTTGGGAACCCCACTGCAAGGTGCTGGAAGCGGTCCACAGCCCACTCTGTGCCCCAAAGACGCTCAGCTGCTGGGGGTGGGCAGCCCCTCTTCCCCCCCCTCCCCAGGCTCCTGGAGCAACCAGCCCGCTCGCTCGCTTGGAGCTCACGCTGCCGGAGGAGAGGCTCCCCGGAGTCACCTTGTCGCTGACGGTCGGCCTGAGCTGCGTCTTCACGAACCGGAAGCCGACCACGGGGAGGACGCAGAGGGTGACGCAGAGGAAGACGGCCAGCCAGACGTTGGGCTGGTTCAAGGTGTTCCGAGCCGTGCCTGGCGAGGAGGAGGAGGAGGAAGAAGGGGTGTGTGAGCGTGGTGGTGGGCAGGGGGAGGGCTCCCCTCTCCCCTCCCCTCCGAGTGGGCCCCGGGGACCCAGTTCAGTCGTGCCCGAGGAGTTCAGCAGAAGCCCTGAGGGAGGGGGGGCCCTGACCCGGAACCCCGCCAGCCCCCTCCCCAGCCACCGTGAGCCTCACATCCCCTGGCTCCCCCTTTGCCCCCGGAGAGGGAGCTTCCAGCGGGGATTACGAGGGTGGGGCAGGGCCCCCTCCCTCCCCTGTGCATTAGCCAGGAGGGTGGGCAGCTTCTCCAAGCCCCTCTCGCCCTCTGGACCTTCATGGGAGAGGCTCTGCGGCCACCGCCCCCCCCCCCCGGAGCTTACCAATGAAAGGGAAGGAGGCCGTGAAGATCAGGTAGGTGCCGTCGCTGTACATGGTGAAGGTGATGGCGAAGTACATGGCCAGGCTGCCCCAGACAAAGAGCTGGTTGACTGCGGTCCAGTAGGCGGTGTCCAGAGCCATCTGCAAGGACAGGCAAGGCACTCACTCCAAGGGGCCGGGGCAGCCCCTCCCCCTCCCCCTGGGCAGAGGTGTGGCCGGGCTGGGCTCTGCTGAATCCTGCCAGGAAGCAGCATGCAGTCAGTCTGGAAAAGAGGGCCTGCAGCCGGCAGTGCTGCCGGGCGCCCGGTGGAAAGGTGCCCTTGCAGTCAGCGCAGCAAGAAGCGAGGCCTGTCTCCCAGCGGCACCTCGCCAGAGTCCTTGGAACCGTGGAACCCTCGTCCCCCTGGGAAGAAGTGGACTTTCTCCTGGAGGGAGGTTGGCAAGACAGAGCAGAAGGCTCCTCCCTATTTCCTCCCTTTCTGTCCTTTGAAGGGGTGGCTCTTTTCCTTTCCACGTAGCAGGAGGCCATGGCAGGGCTACGCTAATGACTCCGCTGGCAAACCTAACTGGGGGATTTGGTGTTCGGAGTCTCCAGGTGACTCCTGGAGATGTCCCAGGATGCCTTCCAGGAGGGCTCCCAGGGTGCACCTGGGTGGACCAGGTCAAAAGGGGGTGGAGAGAGTGATGTTGTAGCTACAATGGGCGGAGCCAGAGGTTTAACAAAAGCGCCCCTTCCCAGGAAGGGAGGCCCTCTCTTGGTGCCAGTCCTTGGCAGAGGACAGACTGCCGAGCTCTGGTCTGCCGGCCAGGGCGGCCCTCTTTGACCACACAGCCCCGGGGAAGGCCTGCAGGGAGCTGGAAGGTAATCTAAGAGCTTTAGAGGATTTGTAGCTCCAGGTGCCCCCCCGCCCTCTCGGTGACATCAGTGAGGGTCTGTTTAGAGGAGAGGGATGGAGGACGGGCTCATCACCACCTTTCCTTCTTCCTTCCCTGTGCTGTCTCTGGGTGTGGTGCTAAAGCCTGCTTGTAAATATTTCCTTTCTAGAGAAGCTGTTGGGCACGCTGCTGTATAAAGGGAGGAGAGGAGAGGTCGGGGTGCAAGTGGGCAGCCCTCCAGGGGAAACCCAAAGCTGCACTTCGCCCCTGTGGTGACCGGGTGCTGGGCAGCAGGAGAACTTGAGGCCCGGCCTCAGGACTGGGGAAAGGGACTGAGAGTCCCGCTTCTCGCATTCGGGACTCCCTAGCATGATCAGGTGGTGGCAGTGAACGCCCTCATGAAAGGAAGAGGATGAATCGCTCCCTCCCGGAGTTGGCAAGCGGGAGCCCGTTCTGTCACACCCCTCCTCCTTGCTGCCCCGGAGGACACAGAGATGTACAGGGGGCCCCCTCCAGAAGCATCAGCAGGCAGGCACATGCCAAAGTTTCATCCCAAAGACGCACAAGCCCTCCAGAGGGGCCGCCCACGGGAGCTGTGCCCACAGGAAGCCCCCCCCAGGAGACTCTAGTCTCTCCACCCAAGCAATTCACTCAGGAAGGGGCTGGGGGAGGCACAGAAGCCCAGGCCGGAGAAGGCCCCCACTCATACTACGCCTGTATCTGCCAAGGCCAGGAGATGTTCAGCCTGGGAAAGAGAAGGCTTCGAGGGGACATGATTGCAGTCTTCAAGTATCTGAAGGGCTGCCATGTGGAAGATGGAGCGGATCTATTCTCTCTTGCTACGGATGGCAAGACTAGGTCTAACAGGTGGAAATGACAAGGGAGTCGATACCGGCTAAATATCAGGAGAGACTTCCTAACGGTAAGAGTGGTTGAGCCGTGGAACGGTCTGCCTCGGGAGGGGGTGGATGCTCCTTCGCTGGACGTTTCCAAGCAGAGGCTGGACGACCCTCTTTCGGGTATGTTGTAGGGCTCTCTTTCAGCTCTGCTCCTGCAGAGTGCAGGGGGCTGGACTAGATGACCTGCAGGGTCCGTTCCAACTCTTAACATTCTATGATTCTATGTGGGTCTTCGTTTGTGTGTGTGTGGGGGGGAGACTTCTTGCAGGAAGCACCCACCTTGGCCAGTGGCCGCTCACCTGAACTGAGACCACAATGAGCAGGCAGGTCTGAGCCATGAGCGCAAAGGACTGGTAGTCGGCCAAGGCCTTCCCGTCGCTCCGCACAGAGTCCCTCAGGGTCCCGCAGGGCACAAAGAAGAGCACCAGGGAGCTGTAGACGCTGTAGAGCATGCACTTGACAAACTCCAGCTTGTTGAAGTAGAGGTTCTGCTGGCCAGGGGTGTACAGCTGCGGGAACTGCAGGCTCCAGCGGTCGTCCACGTCCTGCCGGCAGAGAGAGACCCTTGGGATGCATGCAACGCGGCTGCCCCAGCCCAGGAGGGGTCCACCAAACCCGTGTGATCCCGCAGACTTCCAGCCAGAGGGGAGCCCCCAGAGGAGCAGTGGAGGGGGACCTCCCCTCCCGGGCAGGCACCGGGCAGGCACCACCCAGGTGTAGATGGCTCAGCTTCCAAAAGGAGGCCGGACCACTCCGTTCCTGTGCCAGGCAGCCCCCCCCCCCCGGGCAAAGCCTTGCCCTCTACTCTGGGGCAGGCACCGGCTGCCCTACTAGCCAGGTCCTGTGGGCGGGAAAGCCCGACCCTCACCTGGTCAAAGAGGCTCATTCCCAGCACAGGCAAGGCAGTGTAGACCAGGTTGTACAGGGTGATGAACCATTCGTCGTAGACCGTCTGCAAAGAAGGTGGGAGGCAGAGGTGTGTGTGTGTGCGGGGGGTGTACAGGAGGCCTCAGCAAGCAACCCCCCCCCCCATTAGCTACTTCCAAATGGTTCCCTTTGTCCTTCACAGGGCAGGCTAAACTCAGGGCGATTCTGCATAGGTATCAGACTGGACTCTTCCCCAGTTCAAGGGTCAGGTTTGGGGCCCGGAGGAAAACTGGGGTTACTGCAGGGGGACCTCAGGAGAGACTCCTGTACATCCCCATCTTCCCCCCCCCCCCCCCAGCCAAGAGGTCGGTGCCAAACGGCAGCATATGCCCTTTCGGGGACTCTCCCGGAGGGTTCCCCACTCTGGCCTGGGAAATGTCTGGAGCTCCGGGGTTGGCAGCTGGGGAGGGCACTCCCACGAAGGCTTCCGGATGGATGGGTGCAGCATGAAGCAGATGCTCCGGAAGGGGTGCCCATGCCACTGGAATCCTGTTACCTGGAAGCCGGCCCGCGTGCCCGCGTGGGAGCGCCCCATCCCGTGTCCGTCCGTGGAGAAGCCAACCCCAGCAGCAACGGTGCCGGCACGGAGTCCGTGGTGCCTACCTGCGCGGAGAACCCGGAGAAGAACCCGTACCAGAAGTGGACCAGGGTGAAGGCAAAGTTCTTGTAGAAGAAGTAGGCCAGGAACTTGCACATCCGGATGTAGGACCAGCGCCCGTGGACCAGGAGCAGCCGCTGCAGGTAGCGGAACTGAGCGAAGGCGAAGTCACTGGACAGCACGGCCTGCATCCCCTCCTGGCCACTGATGCCGATGCCAATGTGGGCCGCTGGGAGGGAGGGAGGGAGGGACATGGGAGGTGGAAGGGGTCGCTGGGAGCACTCTGTGGGCCCCGGCCGGAGCTGCCTGTTGCCTCTGTGAGTCGTTCCCAGCCCAGATGCTGCCTCCCCCTGGGCCCCAGTGCGGCCCGGCTGCCCCCCCCCCCCCCCACGCAGAGGGCACAGGCCCTGTGCTGCTCACCCCTGATCATGCTGACGTCGTTGGCCCCGTCCCCGATGGCCAGCGTCACGGCCTTCTTGTACTTCTTCACCAGCTCCACCACCTGGGCCTTCTGGAGGGGCGTCACGCGGCAGCAGAGGACCGACTTGCAGAGGCAAGCCGTCCGCACCAGCTCCCGCTGGAGGTTCCCCTCCAGGGCGTAGGCCTGCAGGGAGACACCGGCCCCCAGGGAGGGAGGGAGGGTGAATGGAAGGCCCGTGAGCCCAAAGCAGGGCAGGCACCCTATGCTGGGCTCCCCAGAAGGCTGCCTTGGGAAGACTCTCCTGCCCGGCCGCAGGGCCCCAGGGCCAAGACCTCTCCTGATCCTGCACAGCCAGGCATGGAGGCACCCACTTCCTGACCCAGCCGAGAGCTGTGAGTGGCCATGTCCCCCGGCCTGTTCCCAGCCACAACCCAAACCTGTAGGGGCCCCCCCTCACGTGGGCAGGTGTGCATGATGAGCCTGGCGCATTTCTCTCCAGCCCTAATGGTTCCCCCCCCCCCCGCCCCCACCCCAGACTGGCTGCTTTGATGCCAGGAGTCAAAGGTTGGGGGGCAGCCCTGGGACCAAGGCTCCCTCTAAGCCATGGAGGGTCTTGTGAGCAGAAATTCCACTTTGTGAGCCACGGGCCTTAAAGCTGTGACTGAGCCATTTGGCTACTGCATAGATTAGTTTGCTCTGGAGCCCCATCCTTCCCGAGCTGAGACGAAAATCTGTGGGCTGGACCCTAAAAAATGCTGAGCTAGCTCACACTAACTCAGCTTAGAGGGAACACTGCTCCTGGGACTCAGCCTCGAGCCGCCTCTGGGGCCGACACGCCCCGCCCTGGGGAGGAAACGGCACAGCTCTGCCTCCTGGGAACGGAGCGGGCGGCTAGCTGAGGGCTCTGTGCCCAGCGACCCGACTGCCGTGCCCTCCCCTTTTCGGGACCCTCGACACCCCCGGGGGCCCTCCCCCAGGCACCAAGGCGCTCCCCCCAGGGAGGGGTGGCATTCCGACTCTGCTCTGCTGGCTGCCAGAACGCTCTCCCTGCAGGGGCGGCTCCACGGCCAAAGTCTTTCCTGGAGGAGACGGGGTGGACCCTCTGCGCCCCCCCCCCGAGCATCTCCCTACTGCCCACGGGTTCCCCGCTCCTCTGGCACGGCCCCCTTGAGTCCCTCCTGCCCATCAGTCCAGGAATCAGATGTGCCACGCTCAGGGGCAGCTTCTGAAGTGATCCTATGACCACACACACACACACGGAAACCCTCTCCACTGCTTCAGCAAACATCGTGCCATGAGGTTCTTTGTACCACAGCTGGAAAGCTGCTGCGTGGCCTGGCCCCCAGCCCTCACACTCATAAGAACATAAGAGAGGCCAATATCGGATCAGGCCAATGGCCCATCTAGTCCAACACTCTGTCACACAGTGGCCAAAAACGCCAGGTGCCATCAGGAGGTCCAGCAGTGGGGCCAGGAGGACACTAGGAGCCCTCCCACCGTTGCCTCCCCCCCCAAGCACCAAGAAGACAGAGCATCACTTGCCCCAGACCGAGAGTTCCTGTCTATGCCTTGTGGCTAAGAGCCACTGATGGACCTCTGCTCCATATGTTTACCCAATTCCCTCTTGAAGCCGCCCATGCTTGTAGCCGCCGCCACCTCCTGTGGCAGTGAACTCCATGTGTTGATCACTCCCTTCCCACGTGGCAGAACACCTTCTCGAGACTCCTTCGTTCCTTCGTTCCTCCCTTGGGCCCCCCAAGCCCTTCTGAGGGCGGGACTGCCACCCTCCCGTGGGTCTCCTGCTGCCACGCCCCGTGCCCTGCGGTGCTGTGGGGGGCTCCATGCTTTGGAGAGGCCGGGCCTTCCGTGTGGCCTGCACGGATGCACTGGCTGAGCTGCCACCCACCCCGGCGGCATCCCCATGACTGGCGCCACAGGCCAAAGCCCGAATCCGCCACAGTTCCACCTGCTGTCCGCTCTTATAAAAAACTGGGGGGGCGGAGCGCTCAGATGCGCTTCCTGCACCACCCCCCGGACGGTGGCACGACGCACAAAGAGCCCCGTCCTCACCAGGCTGTGGCCGCTGATCACCAGGCCGTACTCCCCGTTGGGCTGCTCCTCGGGCAGGGTCTGGGACTTCCCGGGCTTCTGGATCTGCGTATCGGTGCCGTCGTTGTCCACAAAGGTGTCGGGCTTCATTTTCTTCCTGGCTTTCCTGAAAGAAGGCCCACAAATAGCAAAGACCTGGACGCTGCAGGAACAGACCAGAGTTCTTCTAGCACCGTCACACCCTTAAAAGTGAGGGAATGCGGGGTTCGCCTAACGGGGCTGCTCTCGCTCCAGATATACCGGAAAGGCTGGCTATCTAAAGAGGCGAATGTGCCCTATCTGATCCCTCTCTCTGACCGACACACACGCATCCCTTTGCATGTCAAATAAAGAAGCGGGGTGGGGGGGTGGGGCAACGACAACTTGCCCTCTGCCCTGGATTAATGTAAGGTGATGCATGGTCAGGAGGGCCTGCCTACCTGAGGGACCGCCTTTCCCCACATGTCCCCAGAGAGCACTGTGATCTGGTACACAAAACCGCCTGCCCCCCCCCGGGCCTAGGGATGCCAGGTTGGTGGCGACTAGGACCAGGGCGTTCTCCCTGGTGGCGCCAACGCTCTGGAACAAACTCCCCAGCGAGATCAGAGCCCTGCGGGACCTCCAGCAATTCTGCAGGGCCATGAAAACGGAGCTTTTCTGCCGGGCGTTTCAGTAGGAAAGACCTTATATTGGCTGTGCTGCACATGCACTTTATTATACGACACCGCCACATTTAAATGGTTTTAACTGTATTTATTTAATTGGAAATGAGCTGAGCTATTTTATTGAGTTGTATTTTATATATGTACTTATGCTGGTTTTATAATTGTTGTGAGCGGCCCTGAGCCGCTTCGGCGGGAGGGCGGGATTGAAATCTAACGAATAAATAAAAATAGAAATTATAGGCAAATGGGGCCTGAACTTGTTGAGATATTGCAGTTGTAGCAGATAGCTCCATGAAAGCATTGACCCAATATGCTGCAGCAGTGAAAAACTGAAACCCTATGTTTGGTGTTATTAGAAAAGAGACTGAAAATAAAACAGCCGATAAAATAATGCCCCAGTATAGATCAGTGGTGCAGCCTCCTTTGGGATACTGTGCACAGTTCCGGTCAGCGTCTCTCCATAAGGACATAAGAGAAAAGCCAGTGTTGGATCAGGCCAGTGGCCCCTCCAGTCCAACACTCTGGTCACACAGTGGCCAGAAAAACCAGGTGCCCTCAGGAGGTCCAGCAGTGTGTTCAGGACACTAGAAGCCCCCCCACACTGTTGCCCCCCCCGGCACGAAGAATACAGTGCATCACTCGCCCCAGACATAAGAACATAAGAGAAGCCAATGTTGGATCAGGCCAATGGCCCATCCAGTCCAACACTCTGAATCACACAGTGGCCAAAAATTCCAGGTGCCCTCAGGAGGTCCAGCAGTGTGTTCAGGACACTAGAAGCCCTCCCACTGTTGCCCCCCCAAGCACCAAGAAGACAGAACATCCCTTGCCCCAGAGACCGGGAGTTCCCATCTATCCCTTGTGGCTAATAGGGGCCACTGATGGACACTGCAGAGCTGTAAGTACAAAGGAGAGCATCTGAGATGACTGGGGGAGACTATGAGAAGAGTCTGGAACGTTTCATTTAGAAAATGAAATACTAAGGGGGGGGGTACATGAGAGAGGTTTATCAAATGATGCATGAGGTGGTGAGAGTGGACAAGAAGACATTTCTCTCCCTCTCCCAAAATACTAGATCTCGGGGGCATCCAGTGGAGGTGACGGGCAGCAGGTTCAGGACGGACAAATGGGAATCATTCCTTACACAGAGAGTGATTAAAATGTGGGATTCGCTGCCAGGGGACACAGTGATGGCCACAGGAATAACCGGTTTTAAAAGGGAGTTAGATAGATTCATGGAGAGGAAGTCTATCAGTGGCTACTAGCCAGGGTGACTAAAGGATACAAGCATGGACGGCTTCAAAAGGGAATGAGATAAGCATCTGGAGCAGAGGTCCATCAGTGGCCCCTATTAGCCACAAGGGATAGATAGGGGCTCTCAGGCTGGGGCAAGTGATGCTCTGTCTTCTTGGTGCTTGGGGGGAGGGGGCAACAGTGTGTGTGGGGGCTTCTAGTGTCCTGGCCTGACTGGTGGACCTCCTGAGGGCACCTGGTATTTTTGGCCCCCACTGTGTGACACAGAGTGTTGGACTGGATGGGCCATTGGCCTGATCCCACAGGGGCTTCTCTTATGTTCTTAAGGGAACCTCCTCATTCAGTGCCAGGAGGAAATATCAGGGGAAGGCCTCGGCCTCTCTGCCCTGTTGCTGGCCCTCCAGAGGGACTGGCTGGCCCCTGTGTGAGACGGGAGGCTGGGCGAGAGGGACCCTCCCTGGTCTGACCCAGCAGGGCTCTTCTGATGTTCTCATTGGGGGAAGGCCTTGGCCTCTGTGCCCTGTGGTTGGCTGCTCTGTGAGATGGGATGCTGGACTGGATGGACCCTCACTGGTCTGATCCAGCAGGGCTCCTCTTGCGTTCTTATGATTTTGAAGCGGGACTGGCTTGCCTGGTCGGGCTCATACCTTCCCCCTCTTTGGGGGGGGGGGATGCACCTGGCCCTCCCCCCCTGCTGGCCTGCAAGCAGTCCTTGGTGGGGGGGCCCCCATCCCAATGTTCACCTGAGTTCCTGCCGCACTTCTTCGGCGCTGTGGGCCTGGATGAAGAAGATGTCCTCCATGTCGTCGCAGAGCATGTTGCAGGAGTAGCCGATATTAACCGCTGTTTCTGCAGAGCAAAGCAGCACACAGTTTGAGGGTGCTGAAGCTCCGCCTGGGCGGGAGAAGCTCCCCGCTTGGAGCAGTGCAGCCAAAGCAAAACAAAAGCCCTAGTCCTCAGTGAGGAGGGAACCTTCCCCATGGACTCTGCCTCTTTGGGTACAAAACCAGCGAGTCACACAAAAACCCAGGCGACGGTCCTTCCTCCTTACACACCAATTTTTTGGGGGGAAGCATTTGTCCCCACCCCTCACCTCCAAATGGAACCAGTTTGGCCCAGGTGGCCTGTGGACGAACCCCCCCCCTAATAATATTGAGTTTAAAACTGTGGGGGGGGGGGTGGCAGCCAGCCAGTTTAATGGCCTGCCAGATTGCATCTATCCATAGGCTAATGGCCCAGGTAGGAAAACCAACTAAGGAATTTGGTGCTAGGAAGTCTTCAGGTGATTCGTGGAGATTTCCCAGAATGCCTTCCAGGAGGGCTCCCAGGATGCACTTGTGACCTGGGCGGACTGCGTTAAGTCAAGTGGGCGGAGACGGGGGGGGGGGGTTAAGAAAACTTCCTTGGAAGGGGACGGCGGTCTCTCTTCCTTGGGATGCTGCGCTGGGGACGACTCTGAGCTAGCTCTGGTCTGGCAGCCATCTTTTCTGAATCTACTATATAGGCCCAACACCTTTTTGATCAACACTGCTTTTAACCTAAGGAACATTTTATTGGGAACATTTGGCTGTACAATCTCAGAAGAATATACAGTTGACCAGAGAGAAGTACCACTGGACATGTGATTGCACTGGAAGCTTCATTTGCATATTTGTATTTCTTTTCCTTGCCCAGTGGTTAAACTTTGGAACAATTGGTTTCTGGTCTTTATTCCATATTTTGTATGTGTAGGATTGTATGTATTCTTGCATATCAGCCAATATGTTCTGTTTGTATTAGACCTCTGAGGAAGGCCTGTAAAGGCCGAAACGCGTTAGGTCTATCTTATTAGCCCTTGTATGTTTTTATATTTGTATATGAGGTTTGAATGGGACCTTGTTTGTTATTTTAATTTATGGTGAATAAATACATGTAAATTTTTTATGTTTATAATTAGAGTTTTAGAGTTGGCCCTTTTCTACTCTTGACTAACCTTTTTAGGTTCTGAATTCTAGGTTTAGGTTCAGTTTTCCCCCCTTTTTTCTTCTTTAGCCATCTTTTCTGGCCATGCAGTCTCCTGGGCAACAGGACGTACATAGGAACCTGGTGACTTTTTAACACCATTAGTGCCTGCCCTATTTTAACATCAGTTAGGGTATGTCTAGAACAGGGAAAGGGGATTGCGTTCATCGACCGATTTTCCTTTGAAATCAGTTTGCTGATCTAGTGCTGTGCTTGAGGATGCTTGTAAATATTTCCTTGTCAATCAATCTTCTTTGAAGAAGAAGAAGAGATTGGAATTATACCCCGCCCTTCACTACCGAAAGGTGTCTCAGAGCGATTTACAGACTCCTTTCCCCTCCCCACCCCACAACAGACACCTAACCCTGTGAGGTGGCTGGGGCTGAGAGAGCTCTTGACAGAAACTGTCTTTTTTCTAAGAACAGCTCTTATCAGAACTACGGCTTGCCCAAGGTCATCCAGCCAGGTGCAAGTGGAGGAGTGGAGAGCAGAGGCAGGCAGTCTGGCACCAATAAGGGGACTGAATTCTCAATGCCGGCATTATCAGTTGGGAAGATTTGAAGGCATGCACACGACACCTCCAAGAATCCCCATTCAAGGAAAGGGACTTCTCTTGTGGAGCCCACCAAGCACCCCTGGAGCGACCAGAGCAGCCGTGAGGAATTGGGGCCCCTTGATCCCTGTGGCAACACCCCCTCCCCATGTATGGTTTCCCCTTCTCCTATCTCAAGAAGTGAGCTCTGGCTCATGAAGGCCATACGGAAATAACTGTTGGTAGCCTTTTAAGGTTCCTCTCTGGACTCTCCCCCCCCCCCTCACTCACACACAAAATGAGCCAAGGGTTTTGTAAGGCCACCCAGCAGTCGAGGGGCTGGGCTGGGCTGGGCTGGGCTGGGCCCCTAGAGGCACAGCGGGGGTGGCAGGAGAGGCGACCTTCCACCCTCCATGCCCGGTGCCGAGGACCCGCTCGGAGGGCGCGCAGAGGGTCACAGTCTTCTCTGCTTGAACCTAGAGTGCCCCCGGAATGCCCTGTGTTGCGTGGCAAAGGATTCTGACCACGCCTGGCTCAAAAGCCCTCCCCCCCCCCGAGCCTGGCATCACGGCCGGGGCCCCTTGGAGCGAGCCGTCTCCCGGGCGGCTTGGGTGGCCCTGCGCCTACCTTGCTTGTCCCCAGTCAGCACCCAGATCTTGATCTCAGCTTTGCCGAGGGTCTCGATCGTCTGGGGGACTCCGTCCTGCAGCTTGTCCTCGATGGCCGTGGCCCCCAGCAGCTGCAGGGGAAAGAGGGGCTCTGTCAGTGCCGGGCTGGGGGGGGGGGACGGTCCATGTCCTCATAAGTCAAGGAACAGCCTCCAAGGTGCCGCCCGCACTCCCGGCACCCACCATCAGGTCCGCCTCGATCTCTTCGTACAGCCGGGCTAGCTTCTCCTCTCGCGCCACCAGGGTGGTGCTGGCCTCGTGGTGCCGCTGCTGCCAGCCCTCAAAGGTGGCCTCGTCCAGGTCTTTGTAGGCCACAACCAGTGTCCGCAGGCCCTCCCCGGCAAACTCCTGCAAAGAGAGGCCCCAGGGGAGAGGGAGGGAGGGAGGAGACCGAGCCGGCCAGGGGAGTCCTGGGCCAGAGACCTCCCGGAAAAGCCGCTGATCTCCAGACTGGGGCTGCACTGGAGGGTGAACCCGACTGTCAGGTAGCCCTCTCACGGGCCTGGCATGTGCAGGGGTGCCCCTCCTCCTCCTCCTCCGCTCTTC